GAATAGTCGTAACATGGCCACCATTTTTTTTGCAACACTCCGTGAACGAACAATTTTTGTTGGCTTTAACTCATTTTCGAACACCCAAACTCGTGACTAGTTTTTTGTTTCTCGTTCGTACGCGTATATCCAGGATTCGTCACCTGATATGATGTTGTATACAGCATTTGAGGATCCTGCGTGGAATCTTTCGAGAGTTCTGACGCACCAAGTAACGCGAGCCGCTTTTTGCTCTTCATCATTACAGCCCTTCTCAAGTCCACTGCTGAACATAGGCCTCCCGCAAGTAATGCCACAAAGCACGGTTCTGAGCCACCTGCATACATCGACTTCCTGCATGTCCTATAGGAATTTTATAGGATAGAGTGGCAAACGAGCACACAGTCCACCCGATGGTAAGTGGTTACTGTGGCCCATAGACATCTACATATATCCTCGATTACGAATCAAAATGCAAATGCGTTGTCACCCGTGAGGACTTAGATAAAATGCCTCGCTTCCAGTAAAAAGGGTATCCGGGTCTCTACACTCACCATATGAAATACAACAGCATTAAGCTACTATTTTACGCTAGTATTCTGTGAGAGCATGGTCCTTCCCCGGTCGAACCGACCCATTTGTGCTACAACTGTAACACTAATATTACTGCAGCATATGGTCATACTATCGGAAACGACGAAGGCGCGTCAACAAAATAAATAATAGTTCGCGCAACACAACGCAAGGAATAATACTTTGTTGAAAATATTTAAATTAATTATTAATAATTTTTCAAGTTTATTTAATAGTAAGCAATTTATAACTAAAATATTTATCCCTATAAAAGATATATATGACGGCTCCGAGGCGGAGTGGCTTAGCAACGAATTTAAATCTAAGGGCCGCGGGTTCGACTCCCGCACGGAACAAAAATTTGTAAAACTACAAACACTTGTTTCGGGTCTGGATGTTTGTCCTTGTGAAATTTATGTTCTTATGTAAACTACCTCTACAATATTCTTAGGAAACATTCTTAGTGTGGAGGCAAAATTATTATAAAATAGAAACAAAAAAGATATGAGCCATGGTAGCTCAATGGCGAAGTGCTCGCCGTAAGTGCGAGCAACCTTAGTTCGATCCCTGCCGACACCAATGAAGTTGTTATTTAGATAAATTATCCTTATATTATGAAAGAGAATAAATATAATATATCGAACGAAATCTATTTTATATAATAAACATATTTTTCAATTCGAACACATATTACTTACCTCTTTCTAGTTCTTAACTTGGAGTTGTGACATTCCTTTGTCTACTCAATAGAGTTAAAAAGAAAAGTCGACTTCAATTTAATAAAGGAAAATAATTTATAGATATTAACTTCCGATGTCAGGGCTAGATCGGATATTAATTGTCATATACACTATGTCTCATCTACGACCTCATAAGCATAATTATTTTATTCTTTTAGTTCCAATAGTATCAAGATGATTCGTGTTAGATACAAAAATCTCTGGATACAACTAGTAACCTTGCGCTCGCCCCACCTCGGACAGATACGCATACAGAGAACATTGTAGTGTGCTTTAATATAACGCCGTTCTAGAGCAATTATGACTTGCGCAAATTTGAATATACGTTCTTTAGGAAATAATTGTTACAATCCTTATTTTTATACCTGTAGAGTACAAATTTTAGTGTAAATAAAAGGAAGAATACTTTCTTTCCACAAAAATTACTTTGTTATAACGACGTCAACTTTATTCTATAAGTGAAATTATTTTATCGAACAAAAATTAATTAACTTTAGTGGTGGTCCGTGAAATAGACACTAGATGGCCTGAACACGACTTAATTAATATAAATAGGTAAGATACGAAATCGTAGATTGTTAAGAATGGTTTCGATATGATAATTTTATGGAATATAATTATTTTATTTATTAGGTAATAAATATGTAATTCTTGAATTCTTTATTTTATCACTTTGAAGCACCGCACAAAGAAAAGATCGTGATAATAGGAAACACTTTATACTGAACTAGCTATTGCGCCCTGAGCCGTGTGAAATGAGCTTCGCTGTATATGCAGTAGTGGTTCCTAAAAATAAATCTATTAAAAAATATCAGACATACAGAAATTATATTATTTGCATGTTTCGGAGACAAAGCGTACCCAAACTGTTCTATTTATGTTAATGTATATGAAGTAATGGCTAGTAATACGTAAAGCACATAAATACGTACGTGTAGCACAACCGTAGCAGAGCGATAGTGAAGTCTCCGCAACACTCGCGTTCACTGCTAGTTTCTCTCGTTTCTGATTGGGTGGCTAAATGTCGTTCGCACGCCAAGCCGCGTGTTGGATAATTTTAATTTTTCTATGCTATAAAGAGTAAAGTGAATCTTCATAAAATTGTCTTGATGATGAAGTGAGTTTCGTTCTTAAGGATTAATACGCCAGATTAATATGCCTAATAATAATAATAATAAATCGTCGGTAATGAGGCTGTACTTGCCGCGGAAGCATGGTGGTCGTGGCTTCTTGAGCGCGCTCACCATGCATAATCGCGAAGTGTGCAGCCTCCGTGATTACTTCCTGGCGAGATCGGATGATCCATTCTATAAGGACGTCATTTCTTGTGATAAAAGACTTACCCCTCTATCCTTAGCCAACGAGCAATGGCAAGACCCGGCAGTGCAGAGCATTTCCGACCGGAAGACCGTAGGAAGGAGAAGGAGCTCCACGGGAGGTTCTACAAGGCTCTACATGAGCCTTTCGTAGACACAGTAGCCTCCTTCCACTGGCTACGCTTTGGTGATCTCTTCGGGGAAACCGAGGGTTTTGTCTGTGCAATACAGGATCAGGTTATTAAGACCAACAACTATCGGAGATACATCCTAAAGGATGGCACTGTCGACATCTGTCGAGCTTGTCGCCATCCCGGTGAGTCACTTAGGCATGTTATCTCCGGTTGTTCGGCGCTTTCTAACTCTGAGTACTTGCACAGGCACAACCTAGTAGCCAGAATTCTACACCAGGAGCTCGCTCTGAAATACGGTCTCGTGGATCGGAAATTGCCATATTACAAGTACTTGCCGGAAACCGTGCTCGAAAATGATCGCGCCAGGCTCTATTGGGACCGGGCCATCATCACAGACAGGACTATTCTTGCGAATAAGCCTGATATTGTGCTGATGGACCGGGCACAGTCAAGGATATTTTTGGTCGACATTACCATTCCGTATGACGAGAACCTCGTGAAAGCCGAAACAGACAAGCAAACAAAATATCTGGACCTGGCTCACGAGGTGACCGACATGTGGGGTGGTCTGCCGACCGAAATTGTTCCTGTAGTCGTCTCTGCAAACGGGCTAATTCCAGTCAGCCTCTCGGGTCATCTGAGGCGGCTGGGACTACGTGGCGGACCGCTCCAGGTTCAAATACAGAAGGCGGTGCTCCATGATACCGCCCGCATCGTCCGCCGGTTTCCTTCCCTTTCCCCCCTAACCCTCGGCCGTTTGGTCTCCCCTGCCGAGGGCCTCCATCTGGTTGGGCTTTTATTTATTTATGTACTTTTATATTTATTTTATGTTATTGATATTTATGTATATTTATCTTTTCATTTTCATTTATAATTATATATTTATAGAACCCAACCAGATGGGAGAACTATATAGATGCCCCACAATAATAATAAAATCCACTTTTATGGATGATGGAATATGCAAAACGCGCAAAGGTCCGCTGCCTGGAGGTCGCCAGGGTGCGGAGCTGGCGCTGGACGCGACAGCATGCGAACCGCCAGCCGAGCGAGAGGAGTGGGCGAAAGGGGGAGAAGTTGGAGGTTTGGCGTATCGGGCTGGGATGCATCGTCTTTTTGCTGAGCTGGAGCCATCTTTAACCGTCTCAGAGCAAAACCAGGCAGACCGGGTTCGGTATATCTTGCGCTCAAATATATTTGATGTCACCAAGGGCCAAAATGCTTGTGCGAGGTTTTGCTACGATGTACCACCAAGAGGTCACGTAAGCCCATTTCTTGATGACAATAATATCCTTAAAATGGCTGCCAGACGCAAACTTCACTTAGCTTGTGCACTTTTTGGCGTCATAAAGACAAAAAAACCAAAGTATCTTTTTAGTAAGTTAGACTGGTCTCGCGAGCATAGCAAGTATCTCACCCGCGCTTCATCCTATAATAGGCTCAGTATTCCGCGACATTCTTTTTCAGCATTTCGAGGTTGTTATAAGTACGCAGCCTCCCATTGTTGGAATAATCTACCTCCTCCACTGCGTGACCTAAATACATTAGGCACGTTTAGAAAGCACTTAAAATATCTCCTAATAAACGAACAGAAGGGCATACAATAAATAGGAGTATTGTTAAAGAGGTTAGACGTTAGCTACTGATACTCCGTTTACATATTACTTACGAGTATTATGCTGTTACATATTATTATTTATTACAAAAAAGCCTATTAAACGTATGTGTCTATGTATATGTATGTATGTACGTGTACGTATATATGTGTATATATATATGTATATTTATGTATATATATATATATATATATATATATATATATATATATATATATGTATGTATATATAATTTTACAATATACACTGTTAAATTAAATTATTGCACTTACTAATGTTCCCGTCACGTCTCACGTAGCGTTCAGCAACTTACGTTCAGCACAACTATACAATACGTATTTTCCATTTTGTTATTAACATTCATCAGTTGTTATTATCATATGTATCTACTACTACTCGCTTAATGTCAACACTTTCGGCACGGTCTCCGTAGGACCGTATGGGGCCGACTGAAAATCAGCGTCGCTATCCCGCGGCTTATGCTGAGGCGGTCCCTTCCGCCACTTCATCTGTTTCGATTATTAATTTTATCCTCTACTTTTTTTGTTTATAAATTTCTTGTGTTTTTATTTCTTTTATTTTATTCTTATTCGACTTCATTTTGTTCATTAATTTGTATTGTAATCTGAAGTGTCGGAATAAATGTCTTTATGTCTTTATGTCACCGAACTCGAACGACTACGACGTGAGGCTGTTCCCTCATCGGATGAAAATGCTACGGCTGAGGATGCGGCGCCACAAATTGCAGAGCACCCCGCAAATGTGAATTCCGCCGTGAATACCCCAGTTGTGGTTGATTCAAACGATGATGGAACAGTCGCCCAGGAACTGGAATTAGAGCATGTGAGGAGTACATTGGAAGAGGCGATTGTGGAAACGCGCAGTACGCCTCTCGAAAATCGACCGCGACTTCCCCGCATAGCCCTAAGCAAGCGGAATCGGGCTGTCGTGAGGGCTCTGAACCCAATACTGGTGACCTATTTGGAAGCCAGCCGGGACCTTTGCGAGACGGACCAATTCTTTTTGGCGCCGCACTGGCAGTGTGCCGTATTATAGGCGCCAAACTTAACTTTATAAGAATTGAAGAACGAACAGACTGATATGCTTCAGGTCAGGCAACAACAGGCCAAGAATTGTGCGCACCGTCAGGATGGCATTTGCTGGGACAAATGTTAGTTTGTCCCAGCCGGATATAATGCAAAAACTGACGGAGCGCATAGACGACCTGAAGCAGAGAATCGCTGCTTGGGGAAAGCGGATTCGGCGATATACCGAGAGGTCGACACGGTTTAACCAGAATCGTCTCTTCCAGAGTGATCACAAGAGGCTCTATAAATCGTTGGAGCGACCAATGGTCAGTAGAACGGGCCCAGCACCGAATCAGGCCGACACTGTAGCATTCTGACGCGGCCTGTGGTCAGAGCCCATAAACCACAGCGAGGGCCCTTGGACGGAAGTTGTGGCGAGTCAGTGTGCGAGTATAACGCCCATGGACCCCGTCATTATAACGCTGGATGACGTAGCTGAGGCGGTCCGTAGGGCCCCGAACTGGAAAAGTCCAGGACTCGATGGGCTGCATCACTACTGGCTGAAGGGGTTTGTGGTGTGTCACACTGTGCTCGCCCGACAGTTCCAAGAGGCTCTCAACCAGAAGTCGCTCCCGAGCCTCTTCACTACTGGGATCACGCATTTGGTTCCTAAAGACCAGCTTACCACAGACCCGAGCAAATACCGCCCCATCACGTGTCTGCCGACCATATACAAGACACTAATATCCATTTTGAGCGCGAGAATCACTCGTCACCTGGAATCAAATCAGGTGATGTTGCGCGCTCAAAATGGATGTCGGGGCGGCGGTTGTGGAACAAAGGAACCACTCCTCATTGACGCGGTCATTGGCAAAGTGGTAAAACGCAACCGTCGGAACTTCTCCGCCGCCTGGATAGACTACAGAAAGGCATTTGACTCGGTGCCCCATACGTGGCTAAAGAGGGTCCTCGAGCTGTACAAGATTGACTGTACAGTTCGAGACTTCCTCGAGCAGTGTATGGGGCAGTGGAGTACGATCCTCTGTCATCTAGGCGAGCGGATGACGGCTGCGGAAAGCCGCATAAGGATAAGAAGGGGTATATTCCAGGGCGACTGTCTGAGTCCAATCTGGTTCTGCCTCTCTTTGAACCCTCTCAGTACTTTACTGGAGGGCTCCGGGAGGGGATTTCAGCTTCGGAAGGGAGGTACAAAAATGACCCACCTTTTCTATATGGATGACCTCAAATTATTCGCCTCCAGTCGCTCCCATCTTATGGAATTGCTAAACATCACTTGTGAATTTAGCAATTCTATTGGAATGGAGCTAGGGTGCGGTCCTCCATGTTGAAAGGGGAAGGGTTGCTAACTCTGAGGGCATAGACTTATCTATGTCCGTCAACTTAAGGACCCTTTTCGAGGCTGAAACATACCGATACCTGGGTATGTCACAGAACATCGGTATCGATGAGGCTGGTATGAAACAGTCAGTTTGCGACGTGTTTTATGCACGTTTAACCAAAGTGCTTAACAGCCTTTTGTCCGGTGTGAATAAGACACAACCATTTAACGGTTGGGGCATGCCTGTCCTCATATATACCTTTGGCATACTCAGGTGGAGTCAGACTGAACTTAACGCCCTGGATAGAAAAGTCCGCACTACAATGACGTCCCATAGGATGCATCATCCGAGATCGTCGGTAATGAGGCTGTACTTGCCGCGAAAGCATGGTGGGCGTGGCTTCCTGAGCGCGCTCACCATGCATAATCGCGAAGTGTGCAGCCTCAGTCATTACTTCCTGGCGAGATCGGATGATCCATTCTATAATGACGTCATTTCTAGTGATAAGGACTTACCCCTCTATCCTTAGCCAACGAGCAATGGCAAGACCCAGCAGTACAGAGCATTTCCGACCGGGAGACCGTATGGAAGGAGAAGGAGCTCCATGGGAGGTACTACAGGGCTCTACATGAGCCTCACGTAGATACAGCCGCCTCCCTCAACTGGCTACATTTCGGTGACCTCTTCGGGGAAACCGAGGGTTTTGTCTGTGCAATACAGGATCAGGTTATTAAGACCAACAACTATCGGAGATACATCCTAAAGGATGGCGCTGTCGACGTCTGTCGAGCTTGTCGCCATCCCGGGAGAGTCACTTAGGCATGTCATCTCCGGTTGTTCGGCGCTTTCTAACTCTGAGTACTTGCACAGGCACAACCTAGTAGCGAGAATTCTACACCAGGAGCTCGCTCTGAAATACGGTCTCGTGGACCGGAAATTGCCGTATTACAAGTAATTGCCGGAAGCCGTGCTCGAAAATGACCGCGCCAGGCTCTACTGGGACCGGGCCATCATCACAGACAGGACTATTCTTGCGAATAAGCCTGATATTGTGCTGATGGACCGGGCACAGTCAAGGATATTTTTGATCGACATTACCATTCCGTATGACGAGAACCTCGTGAAAGCCGAAACAGATAAAGAAAAAAAATATCTGGACCTGGCTCACGAGGTGACCGACATGTGGGGTGGTGTGTCGACCGAAATTATTCCTGTAGTCGTCTCTGCGAATGGGCTAATCCCAGTCAGCCTCTCGGGTCATCTGAGGCGACTGGGACTCCGAGACGGACCGCTCCGGGCTCAAATGCAGAAGGCGGTGCTCCTCGATACCGCCCTTATCGTATGCCGGTTTCCCCCTAACCCTCGGCTGTTTGGTCTTCCCTGCCGAGGGCCTCCATCTGGTTAAGCTTTTATTTATTTATTTATTTTTATATTTATTTAATTTCATTGATATTTATGTATATTTATCTTTTCATTTCCATTTATAATTATATATTTATATAACCCAACCAGATGAGAAAACTATATTTGTGCCCATAAAAACTTTTTTATTTTTGTCACAAAATAACTTATTGTGACTTTTCTATAAAAAAATAGACCCACGGTAACGGTGTGGACTTTTTTATATATGGAGGAAAGGTCTTTATTTTTCACGCGATAAAGCAGTTTGAGTGCGCTTTTTCATTAAAAAGTTGCATTTGCTTAATAAAAATATTTAAGGATAGCTGAGAGGTGTAGCCTAATGTTAGATAGTCTATATAATTTTTCGTGAATCTGGTTATCATATATATATATATATATATATATATATATATATATATATATATATATATATATATATATATATATATATATATATATAAAATCATGTTGGTATTTCTAGAGAGCAACCTATTTAAATAAAGTTTAAGTCTACCTTTTCTGGAAATGTAGTATCACATTAGGCTTAATAGTAACGAAATTAAGTGGACTTTGTCACATGGTTGTTTAATCATCAAGAAAGGAGATGTATGAAATTGGGTGGTCAATATCGTTCGTATAACTGTTAAAAAATATGTAGGCATTAAACTATTAATAATTTTCAAAAAGAAATAATTTTTATTTCAAATCATAAAAACATTTTTTTTAAACTGGAAAACGAAAGCAATTGATTTCACTATAGCGAAAACGAAACGTTTTAAATTTTTTATGAGGATTTTGGCTTGGAAGCTTGCCTTTTGAGTCATGTCTTCATTTCGTTCAGGATGTTCGTTCTTATGTATTTTTTCTTTTTAAATACTGCTGCTTCACGTTACGATGTTTTTGGGAGATTTTGACGACAGCTCAACTCAGCAGACTGTTGATGACGACAGGCACTCCAGTTCATAAGGTGCCTAAGAGATCAAAATATCTTGAGGTTAATATGTACATCAAACCACTTGTTTCCTCGTTTTCACTAATAGTCCACATGTGAAGTCAATGCACAAAATCGTATCAAAATACACTTCAAGCCATTATTTAAACAATAAAATTTTTCTGTATTTTGTCTATGGCAATAGATAACGAAAGCTATATAAAATAGCCTCCATCTGTAGAGATTAATATTGAAGAAAAGCAATTTAATGTATTTAGAAATACGATTGAATAGGCAATATTTTAAGCTAAAAAAATATTTGAATATTATCTGATACGACTGAATAGGCTGTAGGGTCATTGATTATTGCCTGTTCCGAAGGAGACTCAACTTGGTAACTTCAAGATTCAACTTGTCATGCGCGTCTTGATTTAGTTAATACTTGGCTTTTCTATTGGACACCATAATGCTGCGCCTACATTATGATAATAATGTGGTACTTGCGTTATGAGAGGAATGAACAGACAATTTACAGCCTCTGGCTGCTTTTCTAGATGACATTTTATAATTAATTGCAGAAAATAACTAAACAATAAAAATAGGCTAAATTTTATTTTACTTTATTTAATAACAACTACAAAACTGCATTATTTTGTGTCCTTTTCAATTTATTCAAACAACATATTACAAGAACGAGTGATTTCACTACATTTCGTACAAATCATAAAACGTAAAATAAAACCAAAAGCTCAGGTCCCACAAAAAGAAACGTGAGAAAATTATGTAATATCATCCCGAGTGTGTCGAAGGATTGCCGTTTTAAATAGCGTTCATTTGTATTATTAGGGTGCTTACCAGAGTAACTATAAAATTTGACCGTATTAAAATAATTATTCATCAGTCCATTGCTGAAAATAAGCCTCATTCATAGAGCAACTCCTAACTAGAGGGATTTTGCCACTGTTTCGAAGCTTGGCTAGCCACTTATCAACTGCATTTTTTATATTATTTTTGGTTGTTATCAATAAGGTGCTGCTGCCCATATTCAATTTCCTTTTCCAGGCTTCAGATACTTTCACGAAAGCCCCGGAACGATATGGGGATATTTTAGTACCGCCACTACACAGCTTTCAAATGATGATTATTGTAAATAAGTGCTTTTAGAGTTTGAAATAAATAAAAAATAAATTTTTCTTAAAATTTCAACAGTTTTGGTAACTAAACACATCTTTTAAAAATGTTAGCAAATTTTGTTAATAAATTAAATATTTTGACTTTATCTGAAACAAAAGAAATAGATGTCTATAATACAAGCTGGAGTACAAAGAGAATAGTGGTAATCTGTACTGAGATCGC